GAAAAAAAAGTGGGAAAATATATAATTTGACAGCCCATTGAGTGGAAAAGTTCGAGAATAACTATACTTTTTCATTTATACATTCATATCAAAAATCGAGTTCATATCATTTAAAAATTCACAATATAACATCATGTAATTATAGCTAAAAAGTGAGACATTTACATAACATCATAAAATAGAGTTTAAAAGTCATGATGTAAACATCAGCTCATAAGGATACTATAATCTCATCCCATCGAATATACTGAAAAATTTACCAAAAATGTGCCATCTGACTAAACTAGGTAATCTGGTCATATGCTCGTAGACTACCCCTCGTGCTAAGCACTCATACGACACGAGCTTCAATCTCCTTCAGTGAACAGAAGCGGATCTTCTCATAATCAATTATAGAATACGATCAAGTCCTTTCAATGAACTATATGTATATATATGGTCAAGACCCCTTCATCCCCAATCAAGACCCCTTAGTGTAGTATAGAACACGGTCAATACCTCTTAGTGAACTACAAGAAGTAGATAATCATGGGTACTTTTCTAGTCGATCTCAATATCGCATATGTCTCGCATATAAAAATTACAAATATATCATATACAATCGTTGAAGTTTCACAAGTATCATAGAAACCCCTTCATCCCCAATCAAGACCCTTTAGTGTAGTATAGAACACGGTCAATGCCTCTAAATGAACTAGAAGAAGTAGATAATCATGGGTACTTTTCTAGTCGATCTCAATATCGCATATGTCTCGCACATAAAAATTACAAATATATCATATACAATCGTTGAAGTTTCACAAGTATCATAGAAAATAATTTCCATAATAATTATATAATCGGACACATAGTTGCATATAATATAATAGTACAATTAATTAATTAATATTTAAAAATATATAAGTTCTTCCACTTACAAAACTATGTGTGCAAAATCAACTCAGTGGGTAAGCTGTTTCGATATCCGTATCGCCTCTTGAAATATGATATCATTTTTAGATTAACAATTAACTATTTTTCGGATTCAGATTTTTCATAATAGATCTAGAGGCGTTCTTGGATTATCTCAGAAAACCTACATTGATCGAGTTTTGAGTAGATTTAATAGGCATTCTTCTTCTCCTAGAAAAGCACCTATCATGAAAGGTGATAAATTTTTTTCTAAGTCTCAATGCCCTAAGGATGATAGTGAGAGGACTCAAATGAAAACAATTCCCTATTCTTCATTTGTAGGTAGTTTAATGTATGCTCAAGTATGTATACGGCTTGACATTGCATGTGTTGTTAGTGTACTTGGGAGATCTTAGTTTGGCTCACTAGAAAGCTACAAAGAAAGTACGTAGGGTCTTACAAGGCATTAAAGATCTAGTACTTACATATCGACGATCTAACATTCTCGATGTAGTTGGATATTCTGATGCTGGTTTGTAGTTGTTTAGATGACACGAGGTCTACTTCTAGTTATGTTTTTATAATGGTAGAGGGAGCTGTTTCTTGAAAAAGTGTAAAAAGGACACTTGTTGCCTCCTCTACAATGGAGCCAGAGTATGTCGCTTGTTATGAGGCTACATGTCAGGCTATATGGTTGCGGAACTTTATCTCGGGGCTAGGTATAGTGACACCATTTCGAGGCCACTAAAGATATTTTGTGACAATTCTACAAAAGTTGTTTTCTCTCGAAATACTAGGAGTTCTTCACCCTCTAAAGCATATTGATATTAATTTTTTGTTTGAGTCTTATATTTGTATTGAGTATATTTCGACAGATCATATTTCAGTTGACCCACTAACTAAAGGTTTTGCTCCAAAATTGTTTCAGAAGCATGTGACTCATTTGAGATTGTTAGAGTCTTATGTTGTATTTGATTAGTGGTAGTTCTATAATCATTGCTATTTTACCATATTATTTAGGCTCATATTTTGTTTTGTTCTTAAAATATAGTAATGTCAATGAATGCCTGAGTCATGCACATTTTGAACTAGGCGTACTATATATATATATATATATATATATATATGAGATATTTTGACCAGTCTCATGCTTATGTCACGCATAATTTGGACAAGGCAATGATTATATGTATTGAGACATTTTGGTCACTCTTGTATCCGAGCCAAGCGCATTATTGACAAGGTGTATTATCTATAAGAGACATTCAGATTTGTCTCTAGGTCTTTTTATGGAAATGGGTATTTATTGCTCTTCTGATATTTTTCATACTGCTTTTACATCTCATTGCCCTATGTTACGTGATTTCAAGTATTGGTTGTGTTGTACACCCTGTCCAGTATATCTTTCACTTGTTTGAACTTATAGGTACACTCCTTGTATTTAGGTAGTGATTAAATGAAATGATGTCCAAGTGGGAGATTGTTACATTTATTATATGGACTAGCATTTCATTTAGTCATTGTTTGAGCCCATAATGGGATGAGCCCCCTTTTTATTAACACGTATGGAGGCCCTTACTCTCACTCCACTTAATATGGACTTGGCTTATGATGCAGGAGGATTCGAGTCGAGTAATGCTGATTTGTCAGATAGCATGATGATGGTGCTGAGATACCATGAGATGGCAGATCGGCATAAAAATGAGAAGTGAATTGCAATTATTTCCTTGATTGGGGGAATTTGACACGTATGTGGTAATTTGGCCATAACTTTGGCTGTGGTTATCAGAATCGCTATTATGACCCAAATCCGAAAAACTCTCTTCGGCGAGCACGTCGTGGCCACCTAACTATGCTTAGTGGGCATCAACTTCGAGCCCAAAATCGGTTGTTTTCCTTTCCAAAATTCAATTTTTAGTTATTTTTTGCTATTTATGGTAATATTTCGTTTCTCTTTTTCCATATGTTAGAAAACTCGAATTGAGCCAAATTTTTGGCAACCTACTTCTTTTACTTAATATTTTATTCTGGTGTATTTTCGAGATTTTGCCATTTTTAGTAATTTTCCTATAATTTCGTATTTTGCAGCTATTTAACCCGGCTTGTGGGTTAATTTTGGTCATTCTGCATTATTAATAATATTGAGTGGATTTCATAGTATTTTCTCTGATTTTTGGGCGTTTTTTCTTTTGTTTCTTTTTTACGAATCATTTGCTACAACAGGCCAATAGGATAATCACTATCCTACCCCGCGTCAGTTGGTATCAAAGCGTCAGCATCTTCTTGGGAGATAAATTTCATCAGTTATAATGGTTGGCGGACATGGTCGTGGTTGTCGAGGGCAGGATCCAATTAAGGAAGTCCCACACCGTGATCGTAATATTCAGGATGTGACGATTGAAGATTTGCAGAGACAAGTTGTGAAGTTAACCCAACGTTTGGCAGAGCAAGAGGTCGGTAATCATGATGTGGAGGGTCATGATTTCGATAGCAGTTTCGAAAACCCGTATCACCGTTATGCTCGAGTTTGGGAGCATCATGGACGGGAAGATCGTCATGTAGATCTCGGTTTCAGAGTGGATCTGCCCGAGTTTTCTGGTACGTTGCAAGCTGAAGGATTTATTGATTGACAGAATGAAGTGGAGTGGATTTTTGAATATAAGGAGGTTCCAGATCGTGTCAAAGTGAAATTGGTTGCTATCAAACTCAAAGGTAGAGCATCTGCATGGTGGGAACAGTTGAAGCGTTCACGGAGCGACAGGGGAAATCCAAAATTACTGACTGGGAGAAGATGATGAAGAAGATGAAAAGGCACTTCCTTCCTTTCGGCTACACTCAAACCTTGTTTCAAAGGCTCCATTCACTGAGGCAAGGCACAAGATCAGTTAATGATTATACTAAGGAATTCTATCAGCTGGCGGCTCGGAATGATTTATTTGAGACAGAGGAGCAAATGGTAGCATGGTATTTGGGGGGATTAAGGCAACTCCTGCAATGTTCTCCGCCTTCATTCATTGTGGACGGTTTCTGAGGCATATCAGCGGGCACTTGCAGTGGAGAAACAGTACAGTAGGAGGCCAGTGGTCAGAGGTGAAGATAGTCAGCCAGTTTGCCCTCAAGAATCTCGTTCTGCTTATCAGCCACAGCGAGACAATTCCAGCTCAAGTATTAAGTGTTTCAGGTGTGGTAAATAGGGGCATAGGGCTACTGATTGCAGGAAGCCTACTGGTCAGAAGAATAAAGATCTTCTGATTGAGGAGGATATGATAGAGAAATTCAAGGAAGTTGGGGAGCCTGTGTATGATGATGGTGAAGATGAGGACGTGCTATATGGAGATGTCCAGGAGACCCTGGTCATTCGAAAGAGCCTGCTGACTCCCAAGAGCGAGTCAGGGGACGATTGCTTGAGGACCAACATTTTCCACACAACCTGCACATTTGCTGATAATGTCTGCAAGCTGATAATTGATAGTGGTAGTTGTGAGAATGTAGTGTCTGAGGAGGCTATCGAGAAACTGCAACTGAAGACGGATCGTCATCCCAAACCATACAAATTGTCTTGGCTGAATAAAGGCAGTGAGGTAACGGCAGAAAAACGATACTTAGTGTCTTTTTCGATTGGAAAAAATAATTTTGATAATGCTTGGTGTGATGTGGTATCAATGGACGCGTGTCATATTTTGTTGGGACGACCTTGGTAGTATGATCGTAGTGTTATCCATGATGGGTGGAAGAATACTTATTCTCTTAGCATCAAAGGGAAGAAAATTGTTTTGACGCCTCGCAGGGAAGAAAACATCTCTGCCCCGATAGTTAATAACACTAATCTACTGTCTATATCTAGGTTCTTGGTTGAGGTTGGGTGTGAAAAAATAGTTTATGCTTTAATGCCTCGTGAAAATAGTACAGCGAATGTGGATTTGGAATTACCAGCAGAAGTGTAGCAACGATTGGTGGAATTTTCCGACTTGATGCCGGAGGATCTTCCTCTAGGACTACCACCTATGAGGGACATTCAACATTAGATCAATCTTATTCCAGGGTAGAGTCTACCAAACCAACCATTATATCGCCTCAGTCCCAAGGAAACTGAAGAGTTGCAGGGACAGATGGTAGAATTATTGGAAAAGGGCTACATTCGTGAGAGTATAAGTCCTTGTGCAATTCCTGCTCTACTAGTGTTGAAGAAAGATGGGTCGTGTCGTATGTGTGTTGACAGCGGGGCAATTAACAGGATTACAATGAAGTACAGGTTTCAAATTTCCCGCGCTGGACAACATGTTGGATCAATTGTCCGGTTCTAAGGTCTTCTCAAAAATTGACCTTAAAAGCGGATACCACCAGATTAGAATCAGGCCTGGAGATGAGTGGAAGACCACGTTCAAGACACAACATGGATTGTATGAGTGGATGGTCATGCCCTTTGGACTATCAAACGTACCCAGTACTTTTATAAGGTTTATGCATCAAATTTTACGGCCTTTCATGGGAAAGTTTGTGGTAGTCTATTTTGACGACATACTTTTTTATAGTCCGATATGGGAGTTACATTTTAATCATCTTTGTGCTGTCTTTGATGTAATGAGGACGGAGCGCTTATTCATCAATTAGAATAGGTGTTCTTTCTTCACAACTTTTGTAACTTTTTTCGGTTTTGTTATGTCTACTGATGGTGTTCATGCAGATCAATTCAAAATTGAGGAAGTTTTGAATTGGTACAAGCCAAAAACTTTGCATGATGTCAGGAGTTTCCAAAGATTGGCATCCTTCTATCGTCGGTTCATCAGAAACTTCAGTACCTTGATTGCTCCTATCACAGAATGCCTTAAAGGGCATGATTTTCAGTGGACCGAGGAGGCAGAGGCTAGCTTTCATTTGGTTAAGCAAAAGATGACGGAGGCCCCAGTGTTGGCACTTCCGGACTTTGAGAAGGTGGTCGAGGTAAACTGTGATGCATCTGGAGTTGGTATTGGTGGTGTTCTGAGTTAGGAAGGGTGTCCAATAGACTTTTTTAGTGAGCAGCTATTGGGATCGAAGAAAAATTATTCCACTTATGACCTAGATTTCTATGCCATAGTTCAGACTCTGAAGCATTGGCGTCGTTACTTGGTATAGAGGAAGTTCATTCTTGTTACTGATCATGAGGCCTTGAAGTACATCAATGGTCAACACAAGTTGAGTAGGCGACATCCAAAGTGGGTGGCGTACTTACAGGAGTTTACTTTCACACTAAGGCATCAAGCAGGGAATTTGAATCGAGTAGCAGATGCATTGAGCTGTCGCACATTACTCCTCACCACCATGAGCACCAAGATTGTCGAATTTGAGGCATTTCCTGATATGTATGCGGCAGATCCTTCATTTGGGAAGATAATTTTGGAGTTATACATTCCAGATTGATTAAGTAAAGTAGCATATTATTAGTGAACTTCATAACGAAGGACATTTTGGATGAGACAAGAATTTAGCATTGGTCTTTTCTGATTATTTCTGGCCCAAGTTGAGCAGTGATGTGGGGCATTATGTGGAGCGGTGTTATGTATGTCAAGGGTCTAAAGGAGCTCTTACTAATGCTGATTGTACACGCCATTACCCGTATCTGAAGCTCCTTGGTTTGATGTCAGCATGGATTTTATCTTGGGCTTACCTCGTACACAGCGGGCGATGGATTCCATTTTTGTTATGGTCGACAAATTTTCAAAGATGGCTCATTTTGTGGCTTGCCAGAAGACAATGGATGCTACTCAGATTGCTCATCTTTATTTCAGAGAGATTGTGCGTTTACATGGTGTTCCACAGTTAATTACTTCTGACCATGACACTAAGTTTATGAGTCATTTCTAGAGGAGTTTATGGGAGAAACTTGGAATGAAGTTGAATTTTAGCAACGCATACCATCCCCAATTAGATGGTCAGACCGAGGTGGTGAATCGGAGTTTGGAAAATCTTTTGAGAAGCTTGGTAAGGACTAAATCGAAGCAGTGGGATTTGAAACTACCTCAAGCAGAGTTTGCTTATAACTGGTCGAGGAATAGAACCATCGGATTGAGTCCTTTTGAAATTGTCTATGGTCGGAACCCATCCGGGGTACTGGATTTGGCTCCAATTCCATGTGTGGGTCACTTCAGTAACAAAGCTGACGAGATGGCTGAACATCTTCGAGGTATCCATGAGCTGGTAAAGCTGTCCATACATGATAGTAATACTAAGTACAAGGCTCAGGCAGATAGTCATCGGTGCCAGGTGTTGTTTGATGTTGGTAATTTTGTTTAGGCAATATTAACTAGTGATCGTTTTTTAGCTAAGGAGTACAATAAGTTAAAGGAGTGGAAGATTGGACCTTGTGAAGTGCTGCAGAAGATCATTGATAATGCTTACAGGTTGCCCCTCCCTAGCCATTTGAAGACCTCTGACGTCTTCAATGTGAAATACCTAAGCCCTTGTTTTGTGGAGTCCGATGAAGCTACTATGTACTCGAGGGCGAGTTCTTTCCAATCTGGGGCGACTGATGCAGGAGGATCCAAGTCGAGTGATGCTGATTTGTGAGATAGCACTATGATGGTGCTGAGATACCATGAGATGGCGAATCGGCGCAAAGATGGGAAGTGAATTGTAATTATTTCTTTGATTGGGGTAATTTGACACGTCTTTGTTAATTTGGCCATAACTTTGGCTACGATTATCAGAATCGCTATTATGACCCTAATCCGGAAAGCTCTCTTTGGTGCGCACATCGTGGCCGCTAGCTATAGGGGCATCAATTTCAAGTCTAAAATCCACTGTTTTCCTTTTCAAAATTCAATTTTTAGTTATTTTTTGCTATTTATGGTAATATTTCGTTTCCCTTTTTCCATATGTTAGAAAACTCGAATTGAGCCAAATTTTTTGCAACCTACTTCTTTTACTTAATATTTTATTCTCGTGTAATTTTGGGATTTTGCCATTTTTGGTAATTTTCCTATAATTTCATATTTTGCAGCTATTTAACCCAGTTTGTGGGTTAATTTTGGTCATTCTGCATTATTAATAATATTGAGTTGATTTCAATGTATTTTCTCTGATTTTTTGGGCTTTTTTTTTCGTTTCTTTCTTGCGAACAAGCCAATAGGATAATCACTATCCTACCCCGACGTCAACTTATTGGATTCTATATATATAAACATGTTGGCCCTTTCTCATCTCTTAAGCAAAAGGAGGGATATTAGTTTCAAGGATTTGAAGGGGAGTAGAGAGCAGTTCTCTCCATAGCAAATTTCTTCATCTTTTGCAGCCTAAAGAATCGATGGAAAGTGAATCACAAGCTATTGGAGGTATGATTTATCTTTGTTATTATTGAATACATGCTATGAAAATAAGAAGGGATTATTAAATTTATTGAAGTTAACACTCATTTCATTTTTTTTCAAAAAAGTATAGATAAAATGGTTTTGAATCAGCCATGGTTAGTGCTAAAGAAATTGTTATACTTGCACAAAAAAAATTATGCTTAGAGACCTCATAATAATTTGTTGCCTGGGATATCAAAATTTATGGGGCCAGCCCTAGTTGATGGTGGTGAGATGCCAAGGTGGTGATGGTGGCAACATAGTGTTATGGGTGTGGTAGGGGTGGGTATTATTTCTATAGGCACCAGCTTGGTTAAGGGAACCCACTGGAGCTGTAGCGAAAGCGAGTCTTCATAGGGCAATTGTCACTGCTTATGGACCTGAACCGGGTGATCTATCCATGACTAGGATGAAGTTTGGGTAAAAATAAGTGGAGGTCCGAATCGATTGATGTTGAATAATCAACAGATGAATTGTGTGGTGGTAGCAGTGAGATGGTGCTCGTGAAGGTGGTGGTTGATGCATAGTAGTGGTGGTCAGTGGTAGTGGTGCCTGATGGTGGATGACAGTGGTGTGTTACCGCATTTGCAGTGGCCACGACGGTGATGAAGAAAGAGAAAACTGAATTGATAATGTGGTAATAAATTTATTTAATCAGGTAGTCAGTGTAATTAGCCCTAATTATTATTATTATCATCATCATCATCATTATTATTTTTATTTTATGACATTCATACGACCAAATCAGGTATTTATTCAATACATGTTTGGTAAAATTTATAAAGTTTACTCACAGTCAATAATTAAATACTACAATATTTATTTATTTTTACTGATATTAAAGCTAAAATAATTTACTTATTTTAACAATAAGAGATGCTATGTATTTTTCTAAGCTTAAAAGTAATGAATTTTTCATTTCTACATATGTTTTCATGCATTACCTATTCATAATTACAAGTAAAAAATTACTTACTTTGATTGTGGGATATATGCTATTATCAAAGTAAGTAGCTTGCACTATATTTAGTTTTTGTAAATAAAAATGATATTTTGTTATAAATTATTTGCTTAAAATGATTAGATTATAAGTATATTGTGGGAGTTGAGCAAACATTGAATCCAATTTCTTAGGACTCTCAGTATTCTTGGTTAGTTTTCCCACTTTAATATAAGTGAAATTTCTGATTAAATAGGGAATGCACTGGTATAGAAGAAGAATGCTCACACCAAATAGTATTTTTTAAAAATAGTGACGTACAATGATGTATTAGTGATTGTGTATTTTGGTTAAAATTTTCAGGTGTTTGGAACAACTTCGTTATCAAAGTTTTTTGAGATTTGTGTCTCATAAATGTACCCATTAAATATTTTCTTAGTATTTAATTGGAGGGCATATATCATTTGCTCATGCTTATCATATTTCTCTAGTTTATATTTTCAACATGAATGGCGATTTCCTATTTGACATGGAAAGCTATGAAGATCCAGTAAGACATCTTGGGGTTAACATCTAAACTTGTACTTGCTCGAGTTTTTGATACACTTTGTCACTAGTGTCATGAACTTAGCCTTCCAAAGTTGATATCTTGTAGAATTGAGCATTTCTTGTCACTACAAAAAATAACCGATTTCGCGACAAAAAAATATTGTCGTGAAAATTGAGATTTTGTTGCAAAAGTAATTTAGCAACTACAATATGTTTTTTGTAGCTATTGTCACAAAATGTGTTTTGCGACAACTATTGGCCATTCATCTCATTAACAAAACCGTGACAATTTTTGTCTGACGCAAAAAAAAATATGAAATAGCAACATACTAAATGTAGCCATAATGTCGTCGCAATGTATATCCGTCGCGAAAAATTAAAAGGGTGACAAGTCAGTTCACCACAATGAATATTTCAATAAAGTTTTTACGAGAAATATGTTTGTTGCAAATGTTAAATCATTGAATATATTCTACGACAACTTTAAGCCATTCGTCGCTTTAACAAAATCGTACTATTATTTGTTTGACGCATACAAAATAGCAACACAATATTTGTAGCCATAATGCCGTTGCAATGCATATATATCGCGAAAAAACAAAAAAGGTGACACAATAGTTTTTCGCAATGATTATTACAATAAAGTTGTGCTCGTAATTATATTTATTCCACAATACAAAAAGCCTGTCGCTTCAATGATTTATAATTGCTGCCTAACTTATTCTTTACTTATTTGTGCATGTCGGAGATTCTATTTTAAACATATAATTTTCAATTTATTTTCGTCACAATAGAATTGTTAATATGGCACACATTGAAAATGTCACTAACTTCATTAAAAATAACTCGTGACTTTATGAAAAGAATGCTTCAATGTAAAATTATTGACATATAAATAATATCAAAATAGATAATAATAAAATCATATTACTATCAACCAAATATATATAGACCAATGTATTATTTACAAACTTGGTTACCTCCAAAACCAAAACAAATACAAATAATGTATAATACTAGTAATTTCAAAGTTGAACGACTTAAGGTTGTTCACCAAACATGAAAATTAGAAAATAGAACTAGAAATATGGAAGAAATGGCAAAAAACTCATGAGACACCCTAACATTCTTGACTCCAAAATATGCTTCCAATCAAAAGAAAAAGAAACTAATATTGTTTAGTATTAAATATCAAGTTAACAATTTCTGGAAAATATTTACTAAACAATAGTTATTATCAAACAATATTAGTTTCTTTTTCTTTTAATTATTGTTTGAGATATGCACCCTTAATAATTTCTGGAAAATATTGACTCTATTAGGGAATTAATATTTGCTATTTCATTTTTAGCCAAGGGATTTACATAGATAATTATATTCGCGACATTTTTTTGTTAAACATATCATATCTTAATTGCAATAAATACTTTTAACCTTTGCTTATTTTTACACTTATGTTCTCAATTTTTTTCAATCAATTTCTTATTTTAACATTTTACGAATTTCCGATGTCAGTTTTTGTCCAAAAAAAGCTGTTAGATAGGCCTTAAAACACTTGTTTGCCCATAATATTCTAAAATAAGCAA